AAATTTTCCATCCCAACTCCTGAGAAAGTCGATCGAGTGCACTATTTAAACGCATAGTGTCGGATCGACCGGGTGCCTCCTGGTTGGGGCGGCCCCCAGGCGGGGTCCTGGTCAAGCGCCCAGGCGGGGGAGGGGGGGGGGAATTGGGGGGGGGGGGGGGGCATAAGAGTCTAGACTCGCCCCACTGACGCCATTTCTTAATGTAAAAATTCAGTAGAGCACCAGGGGAAACAATCAAAGAATTGGCGGCTAGGATAAGACAAGATGCAGCCACTTGTGAGTTCACTAATATCAAAAATTCTCTAGATGAAGCTTTACAAACAAGATTCATGTGCTCTGTAAAGAACGAGGCTGTATTAAAAATTTTGTTTCGGATGAAGGACACAAACTGTCATTCAACAAGGCAGTAGAAATAGCTGTTGAAACAGAGGAGGCAGCGAAATGTGCCAAAGAAACAGTCCATGATGAAACGCCTATCAATAAAATTCAGACAAAAAGAAATAAGCAACATAAGACGGCAGAGAAATTTTCTCCATCTCAAAGACAAGATTTTCCGAGTGGAACTTGTGGCAGGTGTGGAGTAAGAGGCCATAAAGGAAATGTCTGCAGGTACAAAAACGTGATCTGCCACTTTTGCCACAAGAGAGGACATCTAGAGAGAGTCTGTCTAAATAAGAAAGAGAATGCTCCAAAACAGAAACCGATTCAGCTCAAAAGAATAAGAAGGCAAAACCAAATAAAAACTATCCCGCCCCTTATTCAAGAACTCATTTTAGGTGGAAAGAGGTTTGCATTCGAAATTGATACGGGAGCCGGAGAAATTTTATGTCTGAATCTGTTTGGCGAAAGCTGGGACAACCCACATTGCGCCCAGTGTCTTTTAGTACAAGTCAGCGTCTGGTGACCTACTTAATGTTTTGGGAGGTGTGGAGATGCAGGCTGAAGCAGGGGAAATAACTACAAATTTGTCATTTGTAGTAGTGAAAAACCACAGCTTAAATTTGTTGGGCTGAACTGCAATAAAGAACCTTCAGATTTCGATAGACACAATGTTTCAAACAAGAACAAATCAAATTGCTAATCAAAACTCATTGATTACAGCTCGTGAACAAATCCGTAAGTCAACTGAAGATTGCAATGCGGATGCTCTTAGTCGTCTACCCTCAGGGCTGATGAGATATTTGATGGTAAAGCAGATAAAACACATTCAACACACCTTGATTCCAAAGAAAACGTAAAAACCTTTAAACTATCCCGAAAGCTTAAAAAACATGCACAGATGAAATTGAGTCGCCTGCAGAGCAGCGCCCCGGAAGTAGCTCACTAGCCACAAGTAACCAACACCACTTAGCTCACTAGCCACAAGTAACCAACACCACTTAGCTCACTAGCCACAATTAACAAACACCACAAATCTCACTAACCACAAGTAACCAACACCACATAGCTCACTAGCCACAAGTAACCAACACCACATAGCTCACTAGCCACATTAACAAACACCACAAATCTCACTAGCCACAAGTAACCAACACCACATAGCTCACTAGCCACAAGTAACCAACATCACATAGTTCACTAGCCACAAGTAACCAACACCACATAGCTCACCAACCAAAGAGCAACTAGAGATTAAAAATTTTCCGTTTTTAAAAAAAAAAAAACAATATCCCAAATTTCCTTCTTTGAAAATATGTCAATGCTATTCACAAAGAATATTATAATTGTAATATCCCCTATAATAAAGCAAACAAACCCCCCACCCCCATTAACGAAATCCAATTTTAAAGACCTCAATTATTGCGTTATAACGAGATTCATCCGACTGAATACTTCATACTGAAGGGTGTGTTGTCCAGGCAGCTGTTTTTGTCCCAGAGACAAACTTCTTAAAGGTAACTATTCATTATCATGTTTTAGGTTGGAAAATATGGGAATGGGGACATTAGAAGTATTAATTGAATCCACTTCAACATAGTAAAACGATTAGAAACCTTTCATTTGGTACTTGGTTGATCAAGGGCCAGGGGTTGGCAACCTTTTTGAGTGAGAAGCCAATTTTTATAAAATTACATCTGCTTAAATAAAAGTAAGACTAAGAAATCTTTTTTGGAGCTGCAGGGGAAAATAGTTTAAATACCAATGCCCTCTACTTCTACACGGTGCCAATAGATTAGGATTTTTAACAGTTGAAAAAGAGACGTGAATATTGCTCTGGACTCTGGAACAATGAGTTTCCCCACCAGCCACCACTTGGCTATAACCAGTGGCGTAGCTAGGGGAGGTGCAGACCGGGTGACACCATTTCAGGGGGTGACACCCAAATGAAAAGTTACATATATATATTTACATACTTCGCTTTAACGGAATTTCATAAAAGTAAAAGGATTAACCAATCACAAGTAAATGTTCCGCACATGTAACCAATCCAAGTGATACCATGAAGGATATTGATTTTGATCAAGTGATTGACAGGTTTGTAGCTTTGAAGACCAGGATTGAAAAATTTTAAATAGAGTAATTTTAATGTAAAAATAACCATTACTTAACGCAGTTACTAGTTCTTAAATACATTTACCTTCTGACCTTCAACTAATTTTTATTCTTGCCATTGTTATTCTGTGGACTTATTTTAACAAGAAGAAATATGTCGTGTAAGTCGGGGGGGGGGGGGGGGGGGTGATACACCATGAGTTTACCGCACCGGGTGACACCAACCCTAGCTACGCCACTGGCTATAACTATAACTTATAACTTATAACGGTACATGACATTAACAATGACCAGGAAACTCATGTAAATATCCCAACAAATGCATTTCCCTTTATTCAGGAATTTCACATAAAAATAGGCCTAGTTAAAAATTAAACTTTTTATTAGCGTAAATTAAATTAAAGTCATTAATCATTAAAGTTAATTAGTGGTCAATGACGTCTGAAACTAATACTAATTTTGAATCTTAAACTTAATTTAACCATATTATTTAATGACTCGCTAAATAATAAATTCTATATTCTTAAAATAAATAATAAATGAAAATCACTATTCACTATCTTAGTCTATAGTAATGACTAACAGTAAACTTTCAGTAACACTAGACTAACGCTATTCACTATAACTTAACTATCACTAACACTAACAGTATCAGTCATAAGTAGTTCAGTAACTTAACTCACTGACTTTTATTTAAATTTTGTTTATATTGCCATAGACAGGTTAATATCAATTTGGACTCATACTGTTTCTTATTTTTTTTTTTACCTCAGTTTGACTTTATAATTTAATTAAAATCAAGGCTATAAAATATAAGTCCTTTTCTTGATAATAACATCTCAAAGTTATCGAACACAATGAAAACAAAAGTTATTTTTGTGTACACAGAGAGCCGCAATCTCTTTCCGGGTTACTCTAATTACTGAGACTGAATGTTATTAGACGTAAAATCTCAATAAAATTTATCAATAATGACGTCTTTATAATAATTTAATGTTAAAACATTTAACTTAATTATTATTATTTTTCTTTTAAAATCGTGATTTGTTACCATCACAAAGCAAAATGTTAAACATCGAAACTTAATCCTTGCCCCAAACCTTGGTCTATTAAATGACACTCAGACCAGGGCCGGCCTTATGGTATGCGACCTGTGCCCTCGCACAGGGCGCCATGGCCAAAGGGGCGCCCAGCAAATATTCAAATTCCATAAGTTTACTATAGTGAAGTTTGAACCTCGGGTCCAGGGTCGAGAAACGGTATTCTAACTTTTCGTACACGGCGTGTGCTTAGGGCGCCATCAACGATCATCCAAAAATAGGAAAAAGCATTGCATGTGAGCGCCATGAAAGAAAAATAGAAAATGCAATAAAAAAAAGATATTCTGAAACAAGTTAACAAAAACAATTTTATTGTTCATTGTTTGATGTAAAAAAAAAAAAAAAAAAAAAAAAAAAAAAAAAAAAAAAAAAAAAAAATATTATAAAAAAATTAAAAAAAAAAAATTTTATTTTTATTTGTTTAAAAAAAAAAAAAAAAAAAAAAAAAAACATAGGCAATAAACTCATCATCGAATAACTAGTTTTTCCGTTAATGATTATACTAAAAAGGGGCGCCAAAGTTAAGCTTGCACAGGGCGCCAGCAACCGTCGGGCCGGCCCTGCTCAGAAACATGCGTTTTGTGTGATCATCGAATAAGACGCATATAAACGTATTTCCAAAAAAAAAAAAAGAAAAAATTTCATATTTAAAGACAGGCGTCATTAACAATTAAATATTTTAAAACGTACAATTTTATTGTTATATTATACTTATAGTTATAAGTCGTATAGACATATATTATGTAATTTTTGGTTTTAATTTTATTTATTTACAATGTCATAAATAAATAAAATATATAAAAATAAAAAAAAAACTATTTAAAATATTATTGATGGGTTTGTTATAGTTAGACAAAATGAGGCATCAAATGAAAGATAATTGGTCTCATGGGACCCGGGTGCGTATAGCGGCAATGCGTGTCCGGGGCCATTTTGATTAAATGCTATTCGGATGTCATTTGTGGTAGTTAATTTTCGTTAAACTGAAGAATTAAGTTTACAAACATATAGTCCATTCAAATATCTTATATTTGATATCTCATTTCGTCTTACAAACCCAACACTAATATTTTAAATAGTTTTTTTTTTTAATCCCAACATCTCACTTATTATGGTACCCGGGTGCGAATAGCCACTCGTTTAAAAAAAATATGTATTTTTTATTTAATATTATTTTATGCAAAAAGTTATGTGATTTCAAAGACAAATGCCATATTAAAATATAAAATAATTAATTAGTATTTTCGTTATATTGTATGAACATTTATTTTAAAAATAATAGCTAATACAGCATTACTGGTTTGTGATGAAAGAACCCCAGCCCCATTTTTTTTACCTCCCGTGCCCCAAGGGTTTTCTTTATAATTTGTATGTTCATTTCTTGATGGTTGATTCAGAAGTAGTCTCCCCTACTAATGTTGACATTGACAACAAAATGGCGGTAAGACTTTTAGATCTTAGTAAACAGCCAGAAAGATGCACATTCAATCAATCAACACAAGAAGAGATGAACTATGGTGAAACATTTTGGCATTCACTGAGGCTTCAGCCACCAATGGAGTCTCGCCTGGTATCTTCAGACATTAAGCAGAGATTGGGAACGAAGAAGCTTACACCGAAATCAAGTCAGTAAATTAACTTTAAACTTAAACTAAACTACATCGCCGAGCTACTTTTCACTATTAAAAAAAAAGTTAGGCCTAATTTACCAGCTGAACTTAAATAACTTAACGATTAGTTTATTAGTAGGTTAGTAGGTAGACTTTCCTGAATAATTGATAATAAAATTATCTAGTCTACGCTTGGGGGTTTATATATTTTTGAATCGATTTGCAAAATCAAAATGTAAACCATATTTTTCCTGAATAATTGATAATAAAATTATCTAGTCTACGTTTGGGGGTTTATATATTTTTTAATCGATTTGAAAAATAAAAAAGTAAACCATATTAATATATTTAGAAAAAAAAAAAAAAAAAATTAATTAAAATGGTAGGCTATACAATGCTATATAATATATAACAACTAGTATACTGTTTATCATATGTATCTTCATACTTCATGCTTAAAATATATAAACTTACACTTTGTAAAGGACTATAACTTAAAACAGCTAAAAAATAATTCAAGAGCAGTGCCTCTCAAAAATAACTTTTTATAATAATTCTGCGAATTTAGGGCCTAGCTGTTAACGATTAGATGCTGGCTTCATTTAATGACTTTTCTTTTATGGGAGAATAATATATTTCTCTGGTTTAGACAGAGACTTTTGGATGTTCCACTTGCTAGTTAAAATAACTAACACTAATACATAAAGTTTATAAGGTTAAAGTTCCATGTCTATTTTGTTACAGGTATTGATTCAACTCAAAAAACAGTTGAACAAGGTATCGTCATAATTTTTTGCTGAAATCATTAAACTGAAATTAGATTAGGAAACACTAGATAAAAGAAATTGATTTCGCTATTTTTAATTTAACAAATTTAAAAATGTAAATATTAATAATTCTTTACCTTTTTATTATAACCTTACTTGTATGGTTGATTGGTAAAATATTTTTTCAGTTCACACTTAATTTTTATGAGTAACTATAAGGCAGTGGCTAGGACGAGGGGGCAACCATAAAGTATGTCATGCTATTTTTGACAGTTTTTTTTACCCCCATTCCCCCTTTCACAAATCTTGGAACAAAGTACATTACACTGTCAAAATAAAAAAAAATGAAATTAGACACTATTAAGTGACATATTCTCTCAGAATACATCTTGTAAAGCATAAATTTAAACATAACTTGTATGATTACAATATATAAATTTTTGATGTTGCATATGATATAAGCCCCCCGCCCCTCCCACAAATTGTCAAACTTTCTTAGACCCCCTCTTCCAAGCATGACATACCTTACTGATGAACTCTAGACTGAATATTCAAATAATTTCATTTACAAAGCAGTGATTGGTTTTTGTATTGAAATAATGAAATTTTGATAACGCTGATTTTGAATTTCCATGTGTCAAATTATTTGCAATAGTTTCTTTCCATATTTCTCATTTTATGGCAACATTGACTTGTGCAATTCCTAGTGGCACATCTTTCATAATAAGAAACGTTTAATGAACATATTTTTTTTTTGCACACAATAATAATTAAAAAATTGTACTTTATTTTAAATGATGTTGTCATTTATTTATGATGTTAATTGCAGTTTGTACAATGTTAGGTAACTCTAATTCAATGTTCGCCTCATTGAAATAATTCAATGTTCGCCTCATTGAAAAATGATCTAAAATTAAAGCAAAATAAGAGACCAACAAAAAAGCAAAAAATCAATAACATCAAAAACACCACAAATATAGATAAAATTTAAGTTTTCTTAAATTCTTTAGATGACAAAATAAAGATGTTCTTCACCCGCGTCTATGCCATGGATCAGCTTGCTCAGTATAATCGCCTTTGTGCTTTAGCAGAAGCAAGGATAAAGGAAAGAAACGTGATGCTTAAACGAAAAGAAGAGAGACTAAAGGTTGGGATCGAAACTGTAAAAAAAAAAATGATTTTTTCAACTAACTAATAATTAATGTTAATGAGTATTGTAATAAAATAGATATTCCTGAAAACTTAGGAGCAGACACTATAAAAGACTTGGCTTGGGACTTTGGTCTTGCCACCAGCAGAATTTATTCTTAAACACTTCCCAACTTATGTCTAGCCTGAACGAACAACAAGAGAGAAAACATTTTGAACAATGTTATAGTTTCTGAAGTTGTAGTTTTTATCCCATTTAAAAGGCTACCTGAAACCGTATCTGCAATGTTAAAATTTTGCTTCAAATTTCTTTTTGAGCGCATTATTTTGTTTTACTATATAGTATTTTGCGTTCAAAAGTAAATTTGACGAAAATTTTAACGCATGAACTGAAAAAAAGATTTGACGAAATTTCCGTTTCATCAAATTTCCATCTATCAATTTACCGAAGATGAAATTTCTTTCAATCAAACTTCCGGTAACCACCTGAAACACCAAAATATTCACTGCTTGCAAAATAGGCCACCTTTATAACAGCATTTCCTTTTAAAAAATTGTTATATGATTTGCGTCCCTTTTGAAAGTCTTTAATTATTTTAAAAAATTTGATGCACACACTTCATTTATGATGGGTGGTAAATTTAAATGACTAATTATACCAAATTATGTGATTTATATATAATTTAACCTTTGTAAAATATGTTGTACACAAATAAATATTCCAAGATCCTTATTATTTATATGCCCCATTTATCTATATTAATTTTCCCATTCCTAAATTAGTTAATTTTAAAAATGGTTTTTAAGGCATTTATAAAATTAAAATAATATTTTTTAATGCTCACTATTAAAATTTATGGAATTTAAAAAAACATTTAGTTCCCAAATAATTTTCTCTGTGTTCTAGAAAGAGGCCATTCGTAACACTGCTGCCCCCAAACCAAAAGAACCAGCAAGAAAGACTGACCAGGAAAACAGAAAAATTGGTGAAGCATACAGCATTAAAGATTTGATTAAGGATCTTGATGAGTTTGATGAGAAAGTTGGAAAATTAGAAGCAGAGAGAAAAGAAAAGCGGGATAAATTAGTTGACATTTACTGCTCCTCTGATTTTAAGAAGAAAGAGACTGAAAATGTTGTCATCTCAGAACTATTTCAAAAATCCAGCATTAGGCCTACCACTTTACTTCCACTTCAATTTAAAGAGAACCTTCTATAAATGAAAAGTATTTAAAAAAAAAAAAAGAAAACTTTTCATGTTTGCTCTTTCTTTTTTTAAATTTTTTCTCTTTTTTTTTTTTTTGTTTTTTTTTTTTTTTTTTTTTTTTTTTTTTTTTTTTTTTTTAAAAAAGAAAACATTGCAAGTAGGCACTTTCACTTTATAAATTGTGTCACATTTGTTTGTATTGGTTGCCCTTTTTTTTTTTTTTGAAGGAAAATCTCACACTTTTCATAATGGGCCTCACATGGTGTGTTTTATTGTTTACTTTGTCATGTCTTTTTCATGGCTTTGTCATGTCTTTTTCATGGCTTTGTCATGTCTTTGTCATGTCTTTGTCATGTCTTTGTCATGCATTTGTTTATGCCTGAACATGAGCATTTAACGTGTGTAACATATTGGATTTATTACCTTAATGAACCAGCCGCCAAATTATAATATAAATTAACTGCTTTGAAAAAAATCTCTTAACCACTGTTTGCTTATTGCTCCTTTCCTTTCACATGTTTGAATGTGTTGTTTACAAAATATTTTTACTAATGACAAAAAGAAAAAACAGGAAACCAGAAAACAAATAAAAGATTATTATTTCATGCCTTACCTGCCAAATACATCGCTCGTATTTAGAGAACGTTTACTTTTGTCAATCAAAATAATGTTTATTAATATTTATTTTTAGTTTTTCTCTTTATGATGTTTTTAAAAAAGAATTATTATTTTTTTTTTTTTTTTTTTTTTTTTTTTTTTACATCATCCCATTTCATTGTTATCACTCTGCTAGATATTTAAAAGTATAAATGGGTAGGCCTATATGAAAAACTTTAATTCTGTGAACTAAATTAATGTGTCTGTAGTTTTTTGTTTTTATTAAGTAAGATTATAAATCCAAGATTGCTTTTTTTAGAATGGACAATTATTTTCTCTCAATAACATGTTATGTTATTGTCAAAACAGATGATAGTAATAGGTTTTACAAATTATTTTTTTAAACCATAATTTAATAGTCTAAATTTTTAGTGAAGAATTAAATTTTATCTTATATTAATTATAAAATAGAATTACATTAAATCTTTAGTTATTTTCAAGAAGGAAATGTAACTAATGTAACCTTTAGTTGAATTTGGGTAACCCATGAGGTTGTATGTAGATCTAATCTGAGCCTTTCAAACTTGAAAGTGGTACTTGTAATTTTGTTGTGGTTTAAATAGGTCAATTAAGCTGTTTTCCCATTTGTACCAAATAATTTTAACACACCTTTTAGTTAAAGCATGAATTTTTATAGTTATTTAATTAAGAAAGTTGAGATTTAAATTGTCTTTGTTTTTTTAAACTTGGGTAATAGCACTTTCACTTAATAAAATGTGTCACATTTTTTGTTTGCTCTGAATGAGCTGTGATTTAAATAAATATTCCCTTGCTTTTGATGGTCACAAAGTCAGACAGATGTAGAATATTTCTGAAAAAGTGAAAGAATTGTGATTTTTATAATTGAAATATTTGAAAAACTGCTATTTGAAATATATTTTTTGAAAACCAAGTAAAATTAATAACAAAAACACTTGAAAACAAGACAAACACAAATTCTTGTAATAAGATTTTTTATTTTCATTATTTCAGTTTAACTTCATTCAAACAATGCAATAACTGATCAGTGATGAGAATTAAGTAGTCTAATGTGTGATTTTTAAAACTATAAATCATATATTATATAATAGCCAATAATATATATATATATATATATATATATATATATATATATATATATATATAAAAAAGAAGTGAAAAACTATTTAAAATAAATATATAG